CACTCTTTCTCCAAAGGGTGGCATGTACATCGTGCAATGGTACTGGAATCCAAGGACAGATTTTATAGCTAGTTTCTAGGGCTTACTTACATGCTAAGTGCCAAGAGCACTCACACATACATGAGCTGGTCGTGCTGATATTCTGCAGCACTAGCAGGTGCAGCTCTTTCCAGGTTCTGTTCAATGAACAGAAGCTTCTCATGTGGTCAGGAGCCCTCTCACACGCCTCCACAATGTCTTTCAACACATTCTCAAGAGGCCTCCAGAGAAACATCTGCTCTGAAATTCTATTTCTATAGAAATGGAAACCAAACAAATTTTACAGGGCTCTTTATTAGTACTCCTCCCATCACTGAAAATTCAGGGGGAAATAGTCATATTACTCTGCACTGTCAATCGTCACAGGAACTGCCAAGGAAAACTTCAAATAGGTAGCCCGTGATGAATGGAGTTTATTTCAATAGTTACTACCATAGCTGCAAATTTCTCAGCCCAGTATTCAAAATTCGGTGCAACTCATACAGCATAGCGTTTTGCTGTTTATACTCTGCTGTCACGTGTGTTAGTTCATTTGCTGTTCTGACAACTTTGAGAGGTAAACACTGAGCTCTTTTTATAGATGAGAAATCAAGATTCGGAAATGGCATTTTTTACACTACGTCAAATGTCTACTCCAGCAGAGCCACCAACCTTATCTAGCATTACTATCCCACACAAGTCCTCTCTTCGAGACAGCCCACCATCGTACTATCTCTCAAAGGTTACCATATTTATTCTTCATTCATTTGTTTGTTATTCATCCCCACCTCGGAATGCTCTTCCATCTTCCCAACACCTCAAACCAGATTTTCCTTAGTTTTTAAAGTCTAGCACAAACTGTATTTCTCACCAGGGCTGCTATTTGTTTCCTTCCCCCATAATCTTTCTGTGAATGCAGACTGTACATACTGCCTCTGATTTGGGAATTAAATACTGCCTTACAGATTTATTTTATTTATTTAAAAAAATTAATTTTATTTATTCTTATCGTTTTTAAAATTTGCTATATGGCACACACACGCTCACCAGAGAGGCACCCAGGGAGAGAGGGGGAAAGTGCAAAAGCAAGCTGCCAGCCCTGAGACTTGAACCTTGGTCAGCCATGTGGGAGTCCAGTGCCTTAACCACCACGCCACCTGCTTGTCCCTTTTATTGTATCTTTATCATAAGGATAGTATAAGCATTGTCAAAAGTTCTGAATGCTACTTAATGCTGAAATGGTCTGTGTGACCCTCTAATCTGGGGACAGGAGACTCCTGTCAAGGCTGTTCTCTGGCCCTGCCCATCCTCCAGGGGGTCCTTTCAGACCATGTTCCAGGTACTGGGTTCCCCTGGATTTCCTATGCAAGCCTCCCTAGCCCACTTCTAGGGTCTGCATAGGCCTTTCACCTAGGTCTGTCCTCCTAAGGTAGACTCTGCTGCAGATGTACCTATTTTCTAT